AAAATGTTAGCAAATACAGCTGTGCTTATTCAGGGAAGTTAGGGAAGAAGTCTATTACTGCCTTTATAAAGGAAGCCTTGCTTTAGACAATTTATTTTGTAAATTTGGTTTTGATACATTCTCATAGAGTTGCATCACCTAAGAGCATAACAGCAGAGTCTGCCTCTGGTAGATTTACTCTTTGATTCTTCTTGCTCTTGTGCAACTTAAAATTAGCGTGTTTAGGGATAGCATTAAGTGCTTCTTGTGGCTTCCCTTTTGTTTCAGTTACAGAGTTTACATTATATGAATGGAGATAAAAAGTCCTCTAAATGCATATTCTAATGTAACAGAATAGATGTTATGATTTGCTCTGTTCAGGTGAGACTTATTCTTTTAAATATACTTTCTCATTTTTCTGTAGATAGACACTTGCAGAAGGTGAGAGTGTGTTGCATGATAATTTATGCTTTGTAGTAAAATGAATGATTTAATCAAACCTCGCTGTATCTCTGCTCTGACTTCCAGAACAGAAGAAACATTTTCAGTGAGGTAGTTCGTTCTGCTTTGTCTGTTGGCTTTTCTGCCTCAGAGCTGGTGTACCACATGTCCATTTTTTCCTAAGCTGTATTTGAACTCTTCTTCCTTTCAAATGCTTTGTAACCTAACTACTCACAAATGAAACTGTTAACTTATTCCATGGGCAGTCCAGGCACAAGTGTGAAATCCCTTCAAACATTATGGCTTTAACTTTTGTTATAGGGTACATTCCATTTGGAGGAATAAGCTACGTTTAGTTGCATCTGAATTTCATTAATGATATATAAATGTTTTTTTACGGTTAAAATGGTGCATGGTCTTTCTGTAGTGTCTCTTTTACTGAAGTAATTCAAAAAGAAAACCACTAAAACGATGTTACTACTGGGTGTCTGATTGCCAAGTTAATCTCTTATCACAAGTCCCATTGATATTCTGTTTGAGCAGCTGAGAGTCTATTTTATGTATAGCGATCTTTCTTAAAGTTTATTCCTGGTAATAAAGCTAACTGGGGTGAGTGCCAAGCTATTCTCAGAGGCAGCCCGCTCTCAACAAGAGAAGTATTTTATTTTGTTAGATGGGGTTATTGTTTGGGTATGTACTTGTGGCAGAACTAGCGAAATTGCTAGCGAGTGAGTCAAACTAGGTTCAGAGGTGTACTCTTACTGGTATGGGGTTAATGGCATTACTGCGCAATAGACATTCAGATCTGACTTTTAATATGATGCCCAGAGTCATGTGCATTTTCTACTTATTACTGTATGGTATTACTAAATTGGATTTTTAATCTCTTCTAACCTTAAAAAGAAACCAAACAAACAACAACTCAAAACCCCCCAAAACTTATACTCTAAACTTTACAGGTATTAAGTGCATTTAATTTTATTATGTGTAAGGAAGTAATTTTATTTCATGTACCACAACTGTATTGGTTTATCTGAAATTATGTCGTGTTTCAGATTTTGGAAATCTTTCCAGTAGCTTACATGTATGTTGAGGTACTTAGTGTCTTCATACCAAACAAAAGTGCATTAAAAAAATGAATTTCAAAATATTAGTAGTTAAACTTCAATAAAGTTACTTTTCATAATGTAAAATTTTACTTTAAGTTTACTTTAGCTTTATACCAGAGTTTCTGAAGTATTACTGTGTATTTGGAAGAATTCAGTAGGTCTTACGGCAGTTTGAAGAAGCAGTGGTGGTTTTGTATGCAGCTCTCGTCAAATGCTTGACATTGCAGTGACAGGTTACAGGTCTTGATGTGTTCCTCTGCTCTTGTCTGTAAGCTCAACTCCTGGGGATTTGCACTACCTTCTAGGAAATAAATCTCAAGCAATCTCCCCTCAGCCTGTTGATGCAGTAAATTTTAAGTTATTGGCCAATAATCTTTGATCTTCTCTTGCTCTGGTGACCTGGATACACAGGAGTACTTACTATTCCATGTGGATTCAAGGGGTAAGCGCAGATGCAGATAGTGACAGAAGTGGATGTGCCTGCAATGAGTACAACACCCTTGGGATGGTGAGGGAATGGGGCAGGATTTGCACCCCAGGTATTAAGTTATCAAAGTGAAAGAGTTGGTGGGATGCTGGGAATCCCGTGGAAGAGGGAGAGCAGAGGGATGCAGTGTTCCCTGGTGTTCACTGTGAGCTAGGGTGCTGGAGGGAGTAATAAACGTAGTAATTTTATGCTTTTCCTTTCATGCTCAGAGAAGGTACCGATGTCAGAACTACATGAAATATCTCCTACTGAAATCAGGCGAACAGGTCACTGCTCAAGCTGCTTTATCAGACTCTTGGATTCAATCAGCCTAGCTGTATCTATTGCTCTTTACATCTTTGAAGAGATTTCCTTACCATCAATCATAAAATTTAACCTTCTTTTTAAATTTCTCCTTGAAATCAGGAGAGAAGCACACAAACAAAACCTGGAATGCACTTTACTGTCCAAACAGAAAGGGATAAATTATTATATGCCACATAAACCCACTGGAGAAATTGGAAAGAGAAAAGGATCTATTATTTCATCTTATGTTAACTATTTGTAATCACAGTGGGAATAAATCTTTTTTCCCCTGTTGTTCCTTAACTGTCACTTGAATTTATGATTTATTTTCCAATGACTGGCAGCCAACTGCAAGTGCTGGGTGGTCTGCATCAGTGCTCTGCTTGTCCTTCATGGTGGTTTGGTGCAAATATCTCAGCATGATAAATCAGAAGCAGCTTAGCTTTAGCAAGCCTGTTTTACTGTTGTAGTCATTAATACCACATGGTAATTATGGTATGTCATAGAGCATCAAACTACAGATTTGTAATTGCAACTAATGATGTCTGTAAATCATGCCTTCTCTGAGCTGAAAAGTGTCAGTGTGCCAGTAATTCAAGCGCCAAATAAAAGCCTGCATTTAAAAGTATTTAGACAGCCTTGTTGGATTTCTGCATCTCCTGGTACATAATGAAACTGGGCAGTGTTCTCTGGCAACTTCACATGATTCCTTCAAAAACATATTCTTATCTGAAGCATTGTTCTAGTGCCAAACATGGGGAGATGGGGTGGATGGTGGAGGGAGAAGGTTTAGTTTGGAGGTTTTTTTAATCCAGATTAATTATTTTCATATGGAACTTTTACTGTTGGATTAAAAACTCAGCGTTAGACTACACTAATTTTTTTATATTGTATCAAATGGATTTTCTCTAAATAAAAAATACTTATTGTGTAAATAGTTTACACAGAAATTTGGAAATAAGATACTGAAATGTTTGAGCTAATGAGAAATCTTTCTAAATCCAGTACAGAACTGACAAAATTGCACTTTTTACTTGAATAAAGTGTGATGCTGTTTTTCACTGGCAAAAATGTTTTTTTTATCATGTGATACGTGACAATAGTGACTGTAGATGAGAAATAGTCACTTGAAATAAACAGTTATTTCTTTAAAATGGGAAAGCATGGATTTAGCAACCGAGGAGCAATATGCTAGTCCATTGCACAGCTTTATTATACAATAGAAGAGAAAACCATGTATTATCATGAAGCCGCTATGTTGGATCTGTCTGGGACTTATTTAGCAAGTAAGAATGTTAATTTAGTGTATACTGGCTAAGATAACTAGTTGTCTGGGGGGTCAAGGTACTGACTTCAGAGGCATTTCTGAACAAAGATGTTGCAGTTGGTGGGTGGATGGCACTGGTCTCAGCTGTTGTATGAGCTTGCATAAATAGTATCATCTCCACTTTAATCTTTCGGGTGTTCAGAGGTAGTGTGCATATTTCTGTTTAACCCCTGGACACTTGCTGGCATGCATGACCCTTTAACAATTCCTGTCCCTCTGTCCATCCCTGGCACCTTGGCTCCAAACAGTCTGGGAAGATAGCCAGTAATTTTGAAGGTTTTTGTTAAGAACATCTCTTTAACAAGATATATATATATCAGTATACACTTTCAGTAGTGCTTATTACAGTAGTGTATAGCACACTTCAGAAGTACTACTTGCATCTTCACTGTACAGTATCTACTCCCCTTTGTGTGTTGTGATCACTTAAAAAGAATATATTCAAGCTGGTGATGATGGTTACTGGACTTTGGCATCAGGAAAAAAAGCTATTTTAATTTCAAAAAGCAGCAACAAAGGCTGGAGCAGTGTGTTTCATAAAGGAAAGTTAGGTTTTAAGTTGTATTTTAGGATAAGCATTTGATTTACCTTACCATAAATTTTGAGAATGAAGAAGATACTTAAATCTTCAGTGTTCATGTATCATGTATCATGTGCCTTTTTCTCACCAATTTTTATATTGCTTCAGAGATGTCGTTTTAGCAGAGTAGCTTCACAAGCCTCAGAAATTACCTTTAAATGTTGTGCTTTGGAGGGAGGTATCCAGAAGCTTTCATGCATCAAAGCCTTCTGCATATTCCTCTCCTTTTTCTTTGTGGGGGAGAGGGAAAAGATGCAGTTGATGGTGTATTGTAGGTGTTACTTTTGACTAGCTTTTGTCACTTTTGGTGGTATACTTTTAACCATGATTAAATACCAACATGGTAAGTGTAGCAAATGCAAAGAAGGGCTAAAGCAAACTTCAGAGTGGCCTGAAGTATCTGATAAATAAAAATTAGTGGAAACTGAATCTCCCTTGCAACCTGTAAAGCCCTGTGCACAGGGAGAGAAGGTGAACAGCAAGGCTGGGAAATGTATTGCAGTAAGTTTGTTTCCATTTTTTTCAGTGATGATCTCACAGGTGCTAGCTTTTGTATTGCTCAAATACTGGAATTTCTTTTGTAAAGATGGAGCCTTGTCGAGTCCAGAGGTGGTTCACCCAAGGATCTATACTTCTGAAAGTTCTACTTACTCTAGTTTGTGTTAAAAGAAACTGAAGTACTAGTTGTAGAAAAATGCTAATTAAAAAATTCAAGGACAATGTAGGTGGTATTATGTTATTGGACATATTTTAATTATGTTACCCCCCCCCCCCCCTTTTTTTTTTGTAAAGCAAACTTTGGCCTGTTCCATTTTAACGGCGTTGTTGAGCGAATTCTCAAGTTCAAGTAAAACCAGCAACATTGGACTAAGCATGGAGTTCCATGGTAACTGTAAACGTATATTTCAGGTAAACTAGTTCTGTATAGTATATGCTACCCGTCTTTCTAAAATTTAACAATTGGAAGCAGAAGTATTTTCTTGTGCCAGGTGCATTCAGGTACAGTATGTGCCTAACAGCATTTAATGGACAAATATATGCAGGTGTTGGCTACTGCAGGAAAGTTGATAATGTATTTTTTAAAAAACTTGTATCAAAAAAGTGAAATCCCTTTTTTCCCATTTTATTAATGGTAGAGCTACAGATCTTTATGTGGTTGGACTCTTTAATTCCTTGGCTACCAATTGCAAACAAAACGAATACTCTCTGGAACAATGATAGTCTTAAATATAGCTTTGGTTTAAAGCCAAGGAGAGCTATGTATTTAAAAATATTATTGCAGATGGTGTAGTCTGGTTGTCTCAGATGTATTGTTTGGCCAGGCAGAAATGTTTTTGTGAAGGCATTGCTTTAAACTGACTGTGAAACAACTTACCAACTTTTTTTCATGCCAAAGACCAACCCTCTCCTCCACCAGCTGTTAAAACATATTGTTAAGTTTTTCTTTTAGTGACTAGCATTTATGAGAAGGTTTTTATTTCTTATTCTTTAAAAACACAATCTAGTAATTTTGGCAAAAGTATGTGTGTGGGGGGGGAGTCTGACTTACAACTTCAGATTTTTTTCTGTGTTTTAATGAAAAATAGAGTGAAAACAGAATTGTTTTCTTTTTAGTAAAGTATTTCTTTTTAATCAACATCTGAATTAATGACTGACTCAATATATTGTGTTTGTCCTCACTATAGGAGGATGATCTGCGGCAGATCTTCATGCTCACAGTAGAGGTACTTCAGGAATTCAGCAGACGGGAAAACCTCAATGCTCAGATGTCTTCAGTGTTTCATCGCTATCTTGCACTAGCCAATCAGGTCTTAAGCTGGAACTTCCTTCCTCCAAATTATATCCTTTTCATGTCAGACCCTGTATTACAGCTGACTTAAGTCACTTCTACTGGCTGACAGGTAAAGTCTTTGTGAGGAGAGAAAAATGTAAAACTTATAAGCCTTTTATTTAGTCCTTGATTTATGTTTTCTTTCATTAGTGCTCTTGGTAACCCCCATGCTTACTAGTAAATGCTTATATACAGAAGCTGCTGTTGCTCTTCGTTAAAGTTGTAAAGTATTTTATATAAAAGGCAAAACCAGTTTGGCAGAGCAGCCACCAGTTATGGGTTGATGGCTTATCTGGTTAGTGCAGGGGAGAGGAAAAGCGTAATATGGTACTTTAGTGCAGAGCCAAATGGTGAAGAAGTCCAAGGTCTGTCAAATTTTTATGTGGAGATCTGATCTGTCCTACTTCTCTCTCAGAGAAGAGGAAGGGGCAGCTAAATGCCCCATTATCTGGGAATGTGCATGCTCTACTGACTCCCCGTAGAAGAGTACGGTCATATAGTAAAACATGCAGTAGGTTCACTTCAAAATGAGGAAAAAGTATTTGCTAGCTAAGAGGAGAAATGGCATCTCATTTTTACACAGGTGCAGTTGCTTCCATTTTGACACCTTTGTGATGTGTGCTGATTGTTAAAGTCCAGAGAAAGGTGGAGATGGAAACTAGGGGATGAACCATGATTAGAAACAGTCTTAATGAGGGGGAGAATTAAAAAGATACAAAAACGTTCAACCCCCAAAATGGGCTATAAAAATATTGTAGAAATAGTCGCATTCTGTAACAGAGGGTTAAGACAGCACTTGCAGTAACACATTGTGGTGCCTCTTAATAACTAGGGTGCTCAGCCAACTTTCCAAGAGCCAAATTTTTCATCTGGTTTATAAACTTTTTCTCTTAAAACCTTTTGAAATTGCTAGTAAATTATACATACTGCAGGAATCTTGATGTTGCCTTCAAATTTATGGTAAAAGATTTGTTTACTTTCCTGGTTGGATGGTTAGAAGATGGTATCTGAGTGTTACTGTTGTCTTTGCCTCTGTTCATTATGCAGCAGGCAGGAAAAATGAAATTTATTTGAAACTGGATGTTCCTTGGCTCACATCTGTAAAGCCGGATATCATACGTGTTGCCTTTATGGAAAGTGTCATGAATTAAAAGTAAATATCCCACTCCTGTCAATCATTGAAGTGCATGTGCCTACAAGACTGAAAATGGAGTCGAATTATTGCATCTTACAAAAGTTTTTGGAAGATGATTTGGGATTTGTAAGAATTCAAATAATATGTGAACACTTTCTTTGTTTCCCTAAGCTGTAATCTTAAATAGAAGGAAAATGCTCTTGTTGCACAGTGGTGGTTCCCTCTGAATTTGTCTTGCTCTGTGCAAACCTCTGATGTAGTGCTAAATACTGATCTTGTTAAAGTTTGACAATGAAGGCTCTAGTTCTTCCTGAATGCTTTATCCTAGGCCAAGGGTAAGTGGTGGAGCTAGATGTATACAAGCAAGATGTGGAGCCTTGGGAGTTCCAGCTTTCATTTATACCTCTGTATAACATGAAGTGATTTAGTCTATAGGTGCTAGTAAATAAGTGTTAACTGAAATAGCTGAGCAAGCCATACTGCTGCTTAAGGTTAACAGTGTTTTCTGCTACTTAGTCTACTTTAAGTACTGCAGCTGTTAGACAATTACAACTTCTAGAGACCAGATGGACCTTTAGTCTAAGCCACAATTGCTCTTACATGGCTACATTTCAGACCTTTTCATAACTTCTGCTGCACTTGATACCATCTTTGTGTTTTCTACCACTGCACATTTAATTTTGCTGTAGGAATTACAGCACTAGTTTGGGTCTCCCTTGTCTGTGTAGCAACCTGTTTTCAGAGAAGTTGGAATGGCTTTAATCAGCCTTGAGAAATGCACGTCTTAGCTGATGAAGATTCAAGAACTGCTGGCGTTTACAGCACCATGTTGATTGTATTGTGGCATAAATCTTCCTTCAGAAGACTGATTTAAAAGTAAGTGATGACATGGTTTAGTGCAAGGTGTCCCTGCCCATGGCAGGGGGGTTAAAACTAGATGATCTTAAGGTCCTTTCCAATCCTGACTGTTCTATCATTCTATGATAGCTTGTGGGTAGTGAAACTTAACTTTGCTGCAGTTTCTAAGTAGATAACACATTTCATAAGAACATAAGAACTGCTGTCTTGATTGATCAGTTGGTATCCTCTTGGTATTCTTTCCAGATCTTTACAGTACATTTGCTGAAGCAGGGGCATAAATTTAATACCCCAAGGATGAAGTAAAATGATCCATTGCATCCACAGCTTATATCTTTCTTCCTTTAGCTGGCATTTCCTGTGTCAAGATAACATTCATTCCCATATTCCCTGCAACATAACAATAACCTGCAGTATTTGTATGTAATTTTAGCAAGATTCTTGTATCTCCAAAAAAGGGAAGTAGCATAAATGTGTATTAACTCTACAGTGACCGTCACCAGGAGGTACATTATTTAAATCACGAGGTTGTGAGATTTGTATCAAAACATAACACTTCTCAAGAGTTTTTGTGCTGTTACAATGTAACAGCATTGTTAAAGTCTTGGACAGTGCTGCCACCAGTCATAATAGAAGAGTTGCAGTAAGTCTGTATTGTCTATTGCTGGCATGAAAGATGCATTCTGGAATAGTCACTTCATTGGAGCATCAGAAGAGAGGCTGGGACCTACCTACTTTTGAGTTGGAATTCAGTATTTTTCAAGTGTCTTGGCTTATGGTGCCCGCAGTGGGAAAGGCAGGGTATGATGAGCTAGGAGACCTTTTTTCAGTCATGTGCAGTTTCTCCCATTTCGTTTTTCTAACACACGGGTTTTTTTTTAATCTGCTACCCCAAGCTATTAGTTCACGCGGCGTTTGCAGATGCTTCAGAGGGTTTTGGCAGTACTGCTGGAAGTGACAATAACATAAGATTCCTATATTGCACTATGAACACATAGTAGTTTGTTGTGGCATGTTGGCTTCTGTAGGGTTTCTTTTTTCAGGGCTGTTACAGTGCTGTTAAATGTTGTTTACTTGGATTGAACTACTTCGAACTCCATCTTTTCTTAAATCAATGTTTTGACTAAGTGAGGAAGTGCAGGTGATCACTACTGAGAAGTACAGCCTTCTGCTTCACAAGAGTGCTTTCGGGGATCCTGCTTCTCGTACACTGCAAATGTCCGAAGTCTCCAGTTAAGGAGCTGAATGTTGCTGGGCTTTAATGCATTTTGGCATGGACGTACATGTCCTGTGGTGTCAGGATGTAATTATAATTTGTATTCTTTTACCTCCAGAGATATATCTCATTTCTCCTTGACTTGGGGATTTATCTGTTCTTGGCAGCCATATTCTAATGGACTTTGGATAAATGTCCTTAAATGCAAAAGTTCTTAAACAGAACATTAGGTTTTTGTCCAGCTGTCTTCCATCTACAGAAGGGTGTCTACTCCTGTCAGTAGGAGCTGTCATAGAATTACTTATCCTTTATGCATTAACATATGGATTATAGTATATGAATGAAAAGGAACTTGAGCTGCTTCTTGTTTTGGATTTGATGCCTCTACTGGCTTGGTGACAAGCTGTCAAGTGTTCAAGCAAATGTAAGAATAGGGTATTGGACATAAAATACAGGTTACATAAAGCCAATGGATGCACTCCATTAACATGCATCGTTGCTGTTCCATTGAAATTAATGGTGAGATGGCAATTGCATAAACTGACTGAAACTTTTGTCTGATCTGAACACTTTAAGTATGTGTGTTCTTTGGCCACACAGTTAAAGGAACAAAGCTTTTCATATCTCTCTTTTGAAAGTGTATCAAGAATGAGACACCTTTCAGAGAGATCCTGTGAACCATATAGCTCTGCAGACTTTCAAGATTTGAACTTGGTCCAACCCATATTGGTAGCATCTGTTACGCATAATGGAAATGCGTGAAAAACACATAGAATGCCTCAAGAAAACTTGAAGCTTGTTTTGAGGAATGATTCAAGTTGGCATTGCCTTTGAAAAAGCATCCTGCCTTGACACCTCCAGTGGGCATGATACTGAGGAGGGTACCACCTGGTTGAAAACTTATTTTAGCCGATTGGGGTCCCCAGTTTGATTTGTTGCATGGCTGCAGAAATGGTTGAACCTGTACCAAGGAGTGACAACAGATTTCCCTCAGCAGCAGGGCTGCTTTCCTTAGGTCTTGTGTTTGTTAGCAGCCTGGGATTATTCTGAATTTACTATAGCAGTCTGTCCTTATCTGGAAGATGAAAGGTTGGGGTAACATCCTGGCTATTGTTTGGGATATAAAATAAAATTCAGTGTAACTAAATAGTTGTATTTAAGAAAGTGCAAAAGAGAGCTGCATTTATCAGACTTACCACTCTTAGGTAAGTAGTAACTTTGAAATCCCTGAAGCTTAGAAATTATTTTGAGAGTGCTATGTGTTTTCTTGACAATCATTCTTAGCAACTTTTTAAGACAAAGTTGGGCAAAACCAAGATAGACACATCCCCTGAATTTGATCATATTGGCACTAAACGTATTTGTATTTATATTGGATTTTTCAACATTTGGGTTTACCTGAATGAATCCTGAAATCAGTTGGCAGTGAGAGAGCATCTTAAAAGCATTAAATCAGAAGAGGAAAGCAGACCATTAATGACCCTCTTTACGAAGGGGAACTGTTTATATATATGTAAACATAGAATAGTTAGGGTTGGAAAGGACCTTAAGATCATCTAATTCCACCCCCCCTCCCATGGACAGGGACACCTCACACTAAACCATGTCACCGAAGACTCCATCCAGGCTGGCACTGAACACTGTCAGGGATGGAGCATTCACAACTTCCTTGGAAAACCCATTCCAGTGCCTCACCACCCTCACAGTAAAGAGCTTCTTCCTTATATCTAACCTGTGTTTTGCTCTTCTGTTCTCTTGCCCCAGTGGTTTTACGTTTCCAGTTTTGCAGTGATTTGTCATCACCTTCCTAAATGGCAGTGAGTATATAGTGGAAAGGTGTGACTCCTGAGCTGTATCTGCATGGCAGTCACTTTGCATATGTGCTTTTAAGTGTAAGTTGGGCTTAAAGTGATTATCCTTCACACTACCAGCTGTATAACCATAGCAGTAAAATGTAGCAGGAGTTGCAGAATCCACTTGAGTGGGCAACATGAGACTTGGTACTAGCATGGTTGCACTGCGTGCAGCTTCGGAATTGACCAGTTTTAAAATTAGGCTGGGTCTTCCAGCACTTCCTACACCTGTTGCTGCAATCTGAGTCCAGTGTCTCCAACACAAAGTAGCTGTTTCATTCTCATGACAGTTAATAGTGTTTAATAATTAAATATTTAAGCATTCATTCCTTCTCCTGAATCCTGAATATATTTGCTGGGAGCATTAAGCTATATAAAGATTTGTTTCTCCATAGGGGGCAGCAAGCCTCTGCATCAGTTTAGGCTGTTGCTCCCAGATTTATCCCATGTGTTCAGCTGACTGGCTAGCAAGCCAGAGGAGATCTTAAAAATCCGAACAAAATCAGTATGTTAACATTATAACACTGGATGGCAGATTTCCAGGCAGTTACCTTTCTAATGCACTTTTTGATTTATAAAATGTAAGTCTGACTGACACAAAGCTCTCCAGAAAATGTTCCAAACAACAAAGGTCAAGTGATTAAATGAATATTACGAAAGATATTCAGGCCTTGGCACTCCAGGAGTTTTCCCTCCATTTCTGAGTAGTTCTTTGCAACTGTAGACACTTGTGAATAAGGGTCTGGCAGAGGAAATCTCAGCTTTGCTTTTTTGAGTTCTTAATTTACAGCTTTGTGGAAGGACAAGCCTTGATGCTTCCAGGAATAAAGACTGGGATCTGTTCTCAGATACTGGAATCTGTGGGAAGTTCTGAAGTGAAATGTCTCATGGCTGCCTTAGGATAAAAAATATTTTGATATTCATCTTCAGCTATCAGCCCCTTCCTTTAACAGAGGCAAAGAGTGTGAGGAAAACTGTAATTTTGTTTATGTTTGATTTTCTTTTTAAAATGTGTTTCTCCAAGAAGCATATAAAACTTTCTTTTCTTCCAAAATTACAAATTTAGAACTTTAAAGAGATTGCTCTTATTCCTCTAACTCATGAAACAAAGCCAAGCATAGAACTAATGTCTATGTACATAAATTTAGGCAAAGAGAAAATAAAATCCATCTTAAAGAGTATGGTTTTCTCCTGTTCTCTAGGCACTAATTAGTGAGCATATCAGCCTTATTCACACAGGCATCTAATAACATTTTTATGCTTTTCAGTAGAGCTTGGTATATGTTATTGAATAATCTGTTCTGATTCAAGCAGAAGTTTCTTTGTAAGAATCAGTGTCCTCAGACTTGTAAACTGTGTGAAAGATTGCTGTACTTCTAGTAGTTGTTACCTAGCTTGAATTTTCATGTCACTTAAAGTGAACTGTTACTCATTCTTCAGCAGAACTGAGAATGTTACAAACGGTATTTGTTACCACAAGTGGTTTACAATTGTCTTTCATTAAAAAAAAATAAAAATAAAAAAAAAAAACAACAAAACCAAAAAACCCTTCAGGACGTCATAGTACAGACTGATCTATGTTTATCCTAAGTCTGTGTTATAGCTTGAGAAGTTACAAAAAAGTGTTGTGCTAGTTCTGTGCTTTCTGTCTCTTTATATGTATTGAGGGGTAGATTAATTTTTGAAGACTGAATTTGGCCCACGTACACCCATGTACTATATAATTTAGTGCCAGTTTTTTTTTCAGGTTTGGCGTAACTGGACCGCTGTTAATAAGGCTGAACTATAGCACAGAGTAAGTTGATGTGTTTCACAGAAGCAAGCATCTCCGCAGCTAACTTTGCTAATGTTTGCATACATCCAGTACATAATGGAAAATGGGTGTAAGATCTTCATGATAGCTGCAGGCATAATTTGTATTATTCAGTGAACAGATATTTTGCCCACAAATCTGCTATTGTCAGATGTGTCATCAGTCCATTAGTATGAGAAATGGTACTAAAAATAACAGGATAGGGCTGCTAAATACTGAGGCTTGTTAAAATAGTGACAGCAAAGGAGCCCTTCTTTGATTCCATGTGAAAATTGTTATATAGCTGGTCTCTGCAGACTTAACCTAGCAAAGAGCAAATTGATTTCCAGAGATTGGTAATTTATCTAATATCATCTTCTAATGTCGATGTATTACGAAGCCAGTCATTTATTGGAGAATTACAGCAAAGGATACACATGTCAATAAAAAAAAAATTAAAATACTGTATTTTTTAAAATGTTCCAAATGAAAAAGGATGTTTGCATGTGGAATTCATCCTTTTATTTTTTTAATCTGGGAGACTTGAGGCATTTTCTGTTGCTTAAATTACATATATATTTCAGATATGAGTAAAATAGACAGTTCTGTGATTGGTATAGTTCAATACACACTGATAACTTTGAAAATGGTGAAATGTTTTACTCTAATATGAAAATCCCTGATTGTTCTTACATGTTAAAACATGCTGGCAACAGTTCTGGACATGTACCACCAGTGAAAGTCCACCTGGTACTGTGCCATGGAGAAAGTCACGCTTTTGAACTGTGATTCTGCACACTGTTGCTAGGAATTTTGGGTTTTGGCAGAACTCGGAAGACAAGTGTAAATAAACTAAAATTGTGCTTTTTGCCTTGTGCAACAATTCGTATTAAGCTAGATGTTTGCTTTATATAAAAAAAAAAAAGTTAAGGCGTCTTCTTTCTAGAATGATACCATTGTGAAATTTATTTTCTTCTAGACATATAAATAAATCTTGATACACAATTTTTTATAATACCTTTTGACTTAGAATACAAACGTTAATGTGGTTCATTACCAATAATTAAATTGCATGCAGCTGAGCATGCTGTTACTTCTTCTGATGGTTGTGTTAGGAAGAGATCAAAGAGGATAATAAAGGGCTTAAAAAAGGCATAAGTTGCCGAGTTAAAGCAGTTTTACTGCTGCTCAGATTGGGGATGTTACAGAAGGAATCATTTTCAAAAATCTTTGATAAATATGTCTTGCATGATCAGACTGAAAGACTGAATATAACTTGTTTGTTTAAATGTTTTTGCTGATTTGCATTTGCAGAATTTTGTAGATTAAAGTTTTGCCAGAACACATGGTAAGAGCTGAAACAAGTGCAGGAAAATTGTGGCTTCATGGTGTGCATGTTTTACATGTGTGTCTCTTACAAACGTGCTTAGTATGACAATCCTTGTGGTGTCTTAAGCTTTTGTTCTTCACAGTGTGATTAGAAAATGTAGATTATTGCAGGGCTAACCTATCTGCATTCTGTGACGCATATTTGGCTATTTAGAAAAATAGGATATAGATTTCAGTGAGCTATAATTAGATCTCATAAGGCCTTTTTAAAAGCTGCCAGGAAAATTTTTTAGAAAATGATTTCCTATTTTGCATAAATTTTAACACCTGTTAATTGCGGTTGCTTTTTTCCCTTCTCGCTGTGTCACATTAGACACCCTGGTTATCAAAGTGATCGTATCACCATGGTATGTCTCATAATTATGATCAAACTGTTATCTAACATTCCTGGAGCATTCTTTTTTTCAATACTTAATACCTTTTATTCCTTGGCCTCATGCATGAATTATGCTGTGTATGTGAAGAGGCTTAAAGTTTGTTTCCATTACATTCTTTCTGAATGGATCCTGTTGTATCTAGGATTTTTTTAAAGCCAAGTAGGAATGTTATTGTTGACCTTGACACCAGATAACTGGGCAGACATTATATAGCTATGTTTGAATCCTCGCAAAATGTGATGCTAAAGCCAACAGAATCCTGGCGCGAGACCCTCCTGGACAGCAGAGTTATGGAGCTTTTCTTTACAGTAAGTTTCTTTCTTCAACTTTCATAGTCCAGACCACAGGGAAAGCAGCTCCTTCCTGTTCTAAAACGGTTTTGTTGGACTCTTCCTTTTGCAACAGGTAGGACTGATTCTGTTAACTTCAGCTTGCTTATGAAAGCAAACAGAAGTGTTGTATTTTTCTTAGGTTACAGAATATGTATTTTGCCTATAAATTGCCTAAAACTGATGATCATTAACAAAAGTAGAAGGTGTATAGTGATCTAAACTTTTACACATTTGATACTTCTTTACATGTACTCATCAAATGAGAAGCATGATGAGCAGTAATAGAGTATCTTTCAGATACAGTGTAATGGCTCTCAAAAAGATCAAATGAATGTTATGTGTTTGCTGATCTTAAAGCACTTGCTCAGTGAAACAGCTGAAAATAAGTAATATATTTGCAATTTTCTAGCCAGTTTCAGCATAGAGTTTTGCATCTCTTTCCTCAGCACAAAGTAAATCCAAAAAAGTTAAGATAAATTAAGTTAGGAAGGATGGGGAAGAGTTGGGAAAGGGTAATATAATACTCAGTTTCTGTAATTTAAAAAAAAAATATTAAACTAGATAAAATTAGCAGTATGTTCTTTCTACAACTGTTGGAAGAAGTTTGTAGTCACTGCTGAGCTATGGGTTACTGCAGCAGCAACATGTATTTGCTTATAAATTCATTTTCTGTGTTATTGTATCTTGTTACATTTCTTAGAACCTCAGAATTGAGCATTCTCAGGCTATTTTATTTTTTGTAAAGCAGAGAAATAATGTGCTCAAAACATGGATAGGCAAGGTCGATATCACTCTCCAGCGCTCCTTGAGAGCTGTCTGATATGTGTTTGGACACATGTCTTTGCTTTATGGGATTTTTCAGTAAGTTATATATTTTTGGGGTTTGACTGCAAGTTTTTCTGTTCCAGCAGTTTTGAAAAGGTGAAAAAATCATTGGCAGAACTCTTAGCAGCTACACTCAATCTGAACAGCTGTCTAGACTATCCAGACAGTTGCTACTGTCAGCTGTGAACCTCCACATGCAAATAACTTTTTGGGTTATATATTAACCCTTCCTTGTTTAATAGTATGAATTTGTCAGAGTTGGATATCTCTTTCTTGGTTTGGTTTACAATTACTTACTCATGCTAAGTATAACACTCTGAGTAACATGCAGAATTGTTTTAATACATTTTCATTTTACGTGATAGTAACCAAAACTCGCCTGTATTTGATTATTTTTGAACGAATGCTAGGCAGGGCAATACGCCATCAGTTTTTGTTTTAGATTCCTGATTTGCAGTGGTTGAGGCTTGTAGTATTAGTTTGCTATTTGAAATAATGTGAATGGTAGTAATTTATATGCATGTATCTGATCTGAGAAATTTTAATAACCTTGCAAAAGTTGGCAGGACTGTCATTTTAGAGAGAGCCTTCAAGTCTAATCTCAGCCTAGTGTGGGACGTATATTAGGAGGGGTATTTCTGTTGCGGGGTTTGTCTCTCCTGCACCTTGATCTTCAGAGATTAATTACGCAGCTAATCCAGCTAGTTATGAGTTGGGTGAAGTTGCAACTGTAATGCCACAGAGAAATAGTTAGTGTTTTAACTGTTCTTTTATCTGTACTAATGCTGAAATAATTTAACTAACTTTGCTTCTGGGAGGAAAAGCTACCCTATGTGTATTTAGTCAGTATATCTTATGTGAAAAAATGGGAGGCATGAGCCTAAGAAAATAATTTAAATCCATAATTGACAATTAAAATAAGTACATGATAATATGATTACTGAAAAGTTAAGATTTGAATCTAGAAAGAGTCACCAGCAGAAGTAATGACATAACAGTTTGCAGATACACAGGAAGATTATTGTTGGCCTTGTATAATGTAAGGGTTGCTGCCAAGGAAGTGATGCATTCATTTTTGTCTGTCTTCAGTGTTTACCTCTGCTAAAGAAGCATCTATATAATCTTGATTGAACTTGTTGACTAACTTTAGCAAGACTCTGTAGCCTAGGCATAGTTAGCATAATAGAGATGACTGTCATTATTGCTGTTTTTAGAAGGAGCAGTATGTCTGACTGGCTGGCATCTGTTTCTCTCTTTAAGATGTAACATTCAGTAGACAGTTCAATTTTCAACATGTAGGTGAGACTTAACTAAATGTTAGTTTCAGTGAGTTAATTCGAGGCTAGGATTTTGTGAGCCAAATCATGATTTTGATGTTTACTATGGTTTAGAGAGCTGTAGAAACCTTTGCATTTCAGATTGAATGGAAGTTCTAGTAAGCTTTTTTTGGTGTGTGCTCTTTTGGATTGAGAGCCATGTGACTGTTGTAAGAACACCCTATTTTTGTGTATTATTAACTATCTCACTTCCTGAAAGGTACATCGAAAAATCAGAGAAGATACAGATATGGCCCAAGATTCATTACAGTGTCTGGCACAGCTGGCGTCTTTGCATGGGCCAGTCTTTCCCGATGAAGGTTCACAAGTTGATTACCTGGCACACTTCATTGAGGGATTACTGAATACTATCAATGGGTATGTATGCCTCCTCTCTAAATTTAGATGGTATCTTTAATCTTTAGTTTGGAGTGTAGAAAATCTGTGTGGAGAACTGGTACGGCTTGCTTATTTCTGGATGTAATTTGTGTTTACTGTTGGATTACTGAAATTAAGAGAAGGCAGTTTAAAGTAGGTGGGGCTTAAGTAACGTGAAATAAATTTGTTGATTGAAAATATATATTGACGAAATCAATTAACTTCTAGAATTTTTCTTAGTGGCAAAAACTAACTGCTATTTCTATCCTTAGAATTGAAATAGAAGACTCTGAAGCAGTGGGAATTTCCAGTATTATCAGCAACCTGATAACTGTATTTCCTCGCAATATTTTAACTGCCATTCCAAATGAACTTTTCTCTTCATTTGTTAACTGCCTTGCACACCTCACCTGTTCTTTTGGAAGAAGTGCTGCCTTGGAAGAAGTGGTAAGTATCTACTCTCAAATGGCAGGTAGTTTTTTTTGTTTTTTGGTTTTTTTTGTTTGTTTGTTTGTTTGTTTTTTTGTTCCTATTTGTGATAAGCATAAGTAACATGACACTTTGGCTGTTTTATTAATAACTGTTGTGAATTCAGTGGTTTTGTTCTAGATATTTCTGAAATCACATCTGAGGATTTTCTTTTTGTTTTAAACGACATAATTACAGTGTGCATCATTCAGACTTTGATTCAAAGCACTTGTTACGTTTTTCATTTTAGAAAGATTGGATTCATTTAAAAATATTGCTGACTTGCTCTTGTAGGACTTTTCTGAAAACTGTTGTAGATAATGAGTTAGTCTTGAAAGCTTAAAATGACTACATGAACATATGGACAGACTGAAACTTAACTGCTGTCAAGAGTTCTGAGTCAGGAACTTCTGTTTTGAGTTAATGTAGCTGTTAAGATCTGTTGATAACCCCGTATTTTTAAGCTGTTTGAATCATCCCTTCATTGCTGATGCAGTTCAAATGGGAATTCTGTGAACAAATCTAGCACAGAAATTCAGAGGACTTTTTCTGTTTACTTTTTTCAAACTTCAGTTGTAACATTTAAGAGCAGTTGGGATAGTCTGAGTTTTCTAAAAACTGCATGTAAAGATAACTTCTATAGAGACCTAGTTTAAGGGAAAAAGCCCATAAGAATTAAAGCAAAAGTCTTGCACTTGAACTATTTTTATGTGCAGTAGCTATCTTTTAAAAGTATGATTATTAAGTTACTAGCCAATATGTCCCTCATTATCATTAAAAAGTATGATTTTTTTCCATTTTTGCTGTATTGACTGGGCTTAATTACCTGCATTTGAAAACAGTTATAAAAGTACTTAGTTATAAAGTTGGTGGATGTGTTTCTTTACCAGAGATCACAGCATTTCCTGCATTTCCTGCAGAGCATTAGATCATTTCTTTGCTGCAAGGTTAAAATGTATGTTACATGTGACCCTGCACTCACTGAAACTTTCAAGTGTGTTCATGTCTTAATCAAAAAATTGGTGATTAAATTTAGATTCTATAATACAGCTAATTTCCACACATTATTGGTCAAAACTTGCTCCGCTTTTGAGACTTTCTAGCGTAATACTGAATATATGTTTTGGTGCTTGCTAGCACATTTAAGAATGCTCCTGAAACCCTTACAGAAAAGATGCAGCAAAACCACAGACACTCATCATTTAAATTAATGTTTTAATAACTTTAATAAATGTTTTTTCCTCTGCTCTGTTATTTGAGAGCTAGAATATGCAACCATATTTAATGAAAACAGTGCTTAACTTACAGCCATTCAAAACACTTCATCTCTTTGCAAAAGCTTATGGTAGCTTGTACGACTGTCTGGTACTAAGTTTGTTTTGGAAATGGCTGGCTATTTATCCGAATAAATTGTGGCTTTTTGCACTTGCATAATCCCATAATTTTTGCTGAAGAAAGTCTCTTCAGTGTTAAGTGTGTTCTCAGATTCAGCAACATCAGAGAGAATGCAAGATTTTTTTTTTTTAAGAGAGAATTTTCTCAGTGTCCTAGAATCTTTGAATCGTTCTTTGCAAATAGGAACATTTACACTTCCATGCCTTCCATTCTGTCATAGCTCTTACAGACATCTCAACTTCATGCTGTTTCTCTGATTTCTAGGAAGATACAGAATTCTGTTGGTGGTGGTCCTTCAAAAAAAATAACTCTTGTATCTTAGCAGTGTGTCAGCAGTAAGACATGCTACAGAGGCATAATGATACTGCATGCTGTGCCTTTAGATATACTGCTTTGCATCCCTGAAAACAATCTTTTGGCTTAGGAGTGCCCCAGCCATGGTTAATGTGTTCCTGAGCTTCTTTTTTAGACTGCCTGTAGTGAAACCTTCTGTGAGCTCATGTACTGTCTGTTAATTAAGAACTTTTGGTAGATAAAATACTGGTGTGTGTTGGGCTCACTAGAGGCCTCATAATATTCTTAATGCACTGCTCATGTTTCATGATTTTTTTTTTTCCATATCATGTGATGGGAGAGATCATTCTGAATTTAGTCCTCTCTGCTGTGCTTCCAAGTCTTTCCAGCTTGTTGCTGCTTGGCAAATTTTAGAAGTTTTAAGAGTCATCAGACTGCAAAGGCAGAAATACCCATGTTTCCCATACTAGAGAAATGAAACATTTTTGCTTTGACTTTACTGATTTTTTTTTTTTTTTTTTTTTTTTTTTTATCCTGCCTCTCCTGAAGGTCTGAGTGCTGAACTGGGCTCTGCAATTGCTTCTGTTGGATCCATCAGAACGATTTAGCTTGCCAGTCTACAGCATGTCATTTAATTTGCCTGTGTGGCATCTTTGGTAGCCCAGCTGTAGCTCATCTGAAATAAGGATTGGGAATTTTTGGTAGTTTCTCTGTGATCAAATTTGCTCAATAAGGATAAACTCTTTCTACTACTTTGGCATGTATTTATGGAGGCTCTTATTAATCTTAGCTTCCTTATGAAAATATCATAAAGTGTTAAAAACTTTTCTTCCGTGGCATTAACTTCTGTATGAATTGGATAAATTTGAGTTCTTTTGTTGTTTATAAAAAGACATGTCTCTATTGATTTATGCTCTGGATTATTATACATTATTAAAACTTATATGTAAATTATATATGTAAATATATTATACACATGTCAAAATACTTTGGGATTGAATGACAGTCTTTGAATTCGTGTGTCTTTTAGGCAAGTTTTAGAAAGATATGGTGTCCATCCTAAATTTGTGAGTTATGTTACTGTTAAATGCGATTTTGGCTCCCTCCTTGTCATCTTCAGCTTTTGTTTTCATACTTGTATCAGTGTATCCCACATTTTCCTTCTGTAAATATGACCACTTTGCAGTTATAAAATGATGCTGTGAAACTTTCTTGAAATGCTTCCAACGTGATACCAGTTTTCCAGCCAGTGTTTTCCTTGCCTGTTCATCCAGCCATGTCTGTAACTTCACTGAAAGTCAGAAATTCTTCTATCTGGAGCATAATTAAGGCTTTAATAGTTCATTAAGCCATCATTTTACTGAGCTCTTCTATCTCAGAGTAACTTTTGTGAGTGATCCTGTTGTTTAAAACTTGAGAAGACTTCTTAGAGGATAGGAACATAGGAATGTTCAGCTTTAGCAGCATGTACAGTCACACTTAGGTTATTTGAAGTTGGATGTATAGTACCAAGTTAAATTTTTGCATCAAATCAAAAAGTTAACAGGTACATTAAAAATACCTTTAGAAAGAAATGGCCTCTTTGCTATTTGGGTCCTTTAGTTTGCCTGTAACCTGGGACTTTGTTTTTCAGATACGTTATTTCTTTTTGCAGCTTGTGTACTACATAGAAACATATAGGAATAACTAAAACCATGATGTGGTAAACAATTAGTGTAAATTGAGTAAGCAGTTGGAGGTGCAGGCTTACTCTGTGGAATTCTGCTTTTTTTTTGTTGTTGTTTTTTGTTTGTTCATAGAATGGGAAGTTGTGTATCACCATCAAAACTGGTTACCTGTAGTAAGGTTTCTTGAACGCATGCAATGTTGCAACGATTTCCTCAGGAACAGAGAATTATCATCTTTTATCTTTATTTCAGAAATAGTGGAATACATACAAATCTATATTTCCATGATTCATATTTGTCTAGTTAAAAAAGAAATAATGGCTCAATTCTTTGTTTCTAGTAAGAGCTGAGCTGCTTGGCATCTTTGGGGTAAAAGCTTGGTAGCTTCTGTGTTTAGGTAATCATGCATTAGTGGGTTAATTTAATACTGTTTTGATTTTGAACATCACATGAAGAGAAATAGCTAAACACTTTGTGTTTTTAAAGCCTAGCAAGCATGAAAGCTGCACTGACCTTTTTGATGTGTTGCTTCAGGTCATTCTGTTTTCTTGGCTATCATTACATGGGTTTTGTGACTGCTTTTTTAAATTGTTTCAGTATTAGAAGAACATTGCTTAAATAATAATGAATATAAGTGTATTCCTCTGGTGTCATTTAGGACTAAGATTTTTGTTTCTTTTATCTCTTACAGCTTGACAAAGATGACATGGTGTATATGGAAGCATATGATAAATTGCTGGAATCTTGGCTTACTTTGGTACAAGATGACAAACATTTCCACAAAGGTTTCTTTACCCAGCATGCTGTTCAGGTCTTTAATTCCTACATTCAGTGCCACCTAGCCGCTCCTGATGGTACAAGGAATTTGGTAAGCCCCCATTCTGGTAGTTTTTTATGATGATAGATAGTAACTAGCCCATGTCTTTTGGTGTGTACTGTATTATGTAGCAGAAGGGAGTAGTGTAGAATTAGTATTTGTGACTTTGAAAATGAGAATTTGCCAAATTTGTTCCTTAGTGGCTGTTTTCCACTCTGTTTCTCTCATTCTGAAGAGGAACTAAAGGAATATAAAGTTGTAAATAATTTGAAAAAATAAATTGAAAAAAGTAGACCTCTTACTCAAACGAACATGCGTCTTACTGTTCTTTCCACAGATAAGATGACTAAACTCTTGACTGTCCTTCTCTGGACTAGGGTCCAGAGAGACTGGACTATAGGTCCTAGAGAAGGACCTATAAAAAATCCTATATGAAATTGTAAGCCTTTTATATGGTTGGTACCTTGCACTCACACACTTTAAAATATAATTTTGAAGTGTAATTGACATGCATAAATATCTGAAAAAATGTAGAAAGACCATGTTCAGACTAGAAGAAACTCACAATATTGTGTGGTTCTTTTGGATAAAATGAATTCCTAAATTCTAGAGAAAGCACCATATAAAACTTAATTCTACACTCCCAATATGTAACAGATGCTGATAACAGTGCCAAACCAGGGAGAAATATTTCACAACAGAACTTCGAACTCATATCAGGCGGTCTTGACATAACTTGTATACACAGGTTAATTCATGTCATTCTGTGAGATAAGTCATTTATCCCATGGGTAACCTTTTAAAAGCCACAGCTGGCATTTTAGAATGCTTCTTGTTCAATATCAAAGCAGTAACAGGAACTTTCAGTCTCTGCTTTGAGACCAGAGGCTCACCCCTCAGTAAACAGCTGCAACTTTGAAGTCGCCAGAAGAGAATGATTTGCTGGGTTACATGAAGAAAAAGATGGGTTTAAAGCACTTTGGATAAAGAGCTGTGTGTGGATTCAGTTTTCCAGAGCATTCATAGAAACAAAACAGACTGATAGCTTTCACTGTCACGTGTATTTTATTTTGTTAGTTGTGTAAATTTTATGATTCTCTAAGAGCTGTTTTTTAAAATATTTTTAACATCAATACTTAGTTTCTACATATCATGGTTCATCTCTTCAAGAATTAAGGTCTGATTATTATTTAATTGTTTTTTTATAATGTAGTTGAGATAAGCTTTGAGAAATCAAACAGTGCAACTTCTGCATCAGCAAGAAATTAGATGGCAATGATTATGATTATTAGTCTTCTGCTTCCCTGAAGTTACAGCATTTACTTTATAAAGCTCCCCTTCCCCTCCCCCCCCCCCCCCCATGGGTTATGGAAAGTCTTTAGTGAAAGTGATTATTTTCATTTCATCATAAAAAATACTTATTACGTTACTGATGTGAGATCTCAGACAACTGAGAACATCCTTGACTTCTAACAGTGGATGGTCTACAGATCTGATTTATAAACAACTCTGGTGTAAAGAAGCTGGTTTTGTTACTGTTCACCTTGGGCTTTTCCTATTAATAACAAGTGTCAGTTTTCATAACTCTTTTGAGTTATCTTTTGACTGTTTTCAGATATAATGTTTTTACTTGAGAGCACTATTGGGAATGGTAGCAAGTATACAATTAACTGAATAGGGTATTTTGCTAGTGAGTTTGTGAAATGCTGATTTGAAAACAGTATGAAGCTACGTTTAGTCCTCTGTTTAACTTTTCTTTGTCTGATTTAGTATGAGTCTGTTCATCCATGCAAAATATGGATGGAAAACATGGAAAGAAAATGCGAAAATAATGTAGAATATTGTGGCAGTGATAAAATTTAAGAAGGATAATACTAACTGGTTGCTTCTGATTTTGTTGAAATAACCAAAGACTGCCAATGGTGTGGCCTCTCGGGAAGAAGAAGAAATAAGTGAGCTGCAGGAAGATGACAGAGACCAGTTCTGTGACCAGTTGGCCAGTGTAGGCATGCTGGGGAGAATTGCTGCGGAACACTGTATACCTCTTCTTACAAGGTACAAATAAAATAGTCATGAATGCAACTCAATAAAGCCATCACGTCTGAAAGGCCTGACTTTGCCGAAATAGTTTAAAACCAGTGAAGTTATGTTGTTATTTATCCACAGTTTATTAGAAGACCGAGTGACAAGGCTCCATGGTCAGTTGCAAAGGCATCAGCAGCAGTTACTTGCCTCACCAGCATCAGGGTCAATTGATAATAAAGTGCTTGATGACCTGTATGAGGATATTCATTGGCTTATTTTAGTCACAGGTTAGTGAACAGCTTTAAATAGTACTTATTCTGGTATTCTTATTGCAGCTGGAACACCTCAGGCCAAAAAAAAATCCCTGTGTATCAACTACTGACTAACTATAAATTTTATCCCTAATGATGCCTTCATCTTACATATACTACTCACAAAGTCTTTACTTTCATCTGTCTTGAGTAATCTGAACATTTATCTTTAAAAGATTGATGAAATCTTTACATGAGGTAATGTCCTTTGGAAGTTCCCACAACTAATTTTCTTATAGATTGTTTTTTTTTCTTTTTTTAACATGTGTCAACCTGTTTAAGAAATTAGTCAGTTCATGCTACCAGTCTGGGGGCACATGACTTTATAAGGGAATCAACATGAGATCAGGATAACGGTATTACTCGGAGGTGATGAAGAACTAAGTTCCAGAATCTCTCAGTGCTGATGATCTGTGTCCTGGTATTTTTTTCTTTCACGGAACTTGAATTTAGAACCTGTTTGGTTTTGATTTTTAAATGGAATTATCTTGCATCTGTTTGCAGAACATAGTAACAACTAAGATAGTGTCTGTACTTTTTTAGGAAAAATGTGTACTTGATGAAATTTTATAGGATCTTTTTGAACATCTGTCTTAGTTGCTCTCAGATGTTCACATGAATGTGGTTTACAATTTTGTATAACTGTGGAACAGAGCTCACAGATGGGTATGAGATCAGACACTGAAAACTATGACTAAAGCTGGAATTAATATTAATTGAATGGACACCAGAGTGTTAAAATCCCATGATTCACCTGGTCTGTAGTTGCTATGGTAAGAAGACTTTGTTACAGCACACGTGCTTGCTGTCTGAAAGTCTCCAACAGATTTGAAATGTTAATGGAACAGAAGTCCCAAATGAGATGGACTCAGTGGGGAAAGCTCTAAATCAAGGCTCTTTTATCACATAATAGAAGAAAAAAGTGACAACAAAATGGGTTTTCTTTGTTTGTTTCCCCCCCTGAATAGTTGAATTGGCTGAAGTGCTTTGAGGTGAACCAAAGCCTTTTCTCTTTTAAATTTTTTTTTTCTCTCTCTTTTAGTTTAGTTGTTTTTTTTTTCCAGTCTTGGTTTCTTGTCGCTTTAGGGTCATCTCTACTGAATGGTTTTAAGTATTGTAAAGTTGCACATATATAAACAGCATTAGTCAGGGTTTGTACAAACATTTGATTCTGGTGTGATGTCTGCAGTTAAGCCAATGGATTCTCTTAATTAAAAAGCCATCCATTAACCTAGGGTAGAAAGTTGTGATCACTCTTTCTTTTTTAATGTAAGGCTACCTCTTGGCTAATGATACTCAGGGAGAGACTCCGCTAATACCTCCAGAAGTAATGGAATACTCCATTAAACATTCAGCTGAGGTTGACATCAACACAACACTTCAGATTCTGGGATCTCCAGGAGAAAAAGCCTCTTCCATCCCAGGGTACAACAGAACTGATTCTGTAATTAGGTACGGTTACTTCTCATGCTATTAAGTATGTTAAATGCTTTTTCAGAGAAAAAAAAAAATTAAAATGTGAATGGACTTTTGTAAATTTGAAAAAAAAGTAAAAATTGTAAAAAAGTAAAGTAAAAAAAAAAATTGAAAAGCAGTATGTAAACACTGACCATTGGAAAAGAAATGTCTCTTAGAAATGTCTCTGAGAAATGTCTCAGACAAGTCATAAGAATGGCTTTATAACAGATATTTATTAAGGCAATGCTGTAAAAGAGATTAAGAAAAGACAGAAAAGAAGAAGTGTTTTTTTGGGGGGGAGGGGTAAAAAAAGGTAAGGGTAAATAGAGATGATATTCAAGTCATGGTGAGCCGAGAGAGGATTGAGAAGAAAAATGAGAGTAAGGCATCAAAATGGATAAAACTGAGTCAAAATGTGTGAAGGCTGAAATTGACTAGATTGACCTAATAGTCTTAACAGAGAACGTGAGCCAAAGTCTTGGAAATAAACATAAATGTTTTTCTATCTCTACTGAAACTCCATCTTTGATCTATTTATTACAGAAAATCCTTAAAATTACTTCAGTTACCATAAAGCTGGTAGATCAAAATCCTTAAATAATATACTCTGGAATTCATTCAGCACATATACAGCTTAAGCAAATGCTTTCCAGAGCACCAGTAAGCTTGTCTTCTTTGAAGATGAGTTACTGCCCAAGCTTGGCAGTAGCAGCAGAATTGGTACTCAGTGAGGGAGGAATTGTTGTCACATACACAGCCTATAAAAGGAATAGGACGGGGTATTTCTATCTTCTTTTTGCCAGAAAGCTGATGCCCACAAAGGATTCCTCAATTTGAATCCTCACACTTCAGAAAAGTACAAGATTACCCAAGATTAGCAGTTATATACTTAACTTTTCTTCTTCTGGAAGAGGCTAGGAAAAAATGGATCGTCATTAGCAATGATGTGCCTAATAGTTAGAAGTTTGAATGTTGCTCATTGATACTATTGGAAGCTTCATGAAATGGCCATCAAATGGAATTCCTTGATGCAGAGTCTCAGTGGTGATGGGAATAAAATCAGATCTAAATATGGAGAGATTTGAGGTTTCTTGGCAATAGCCCTGAAACATCTTCAAGAAATAGACTACCATCAACTCCTAAATTCCTTGTGCAATATCACATTCTTATCAAACTTAATTTATATACTACAAAAGTTACTATTTAATGTGGTTTTATGGACTGATTGTATTCTGATTGTGGTCTATTTTGGACTGTTTCTTTATAGCAATGAAAGAGAAATAACTGGACATTTCTGTATTTGTTCTTTAGTATACATCACACTGCAAAACCTGCACAATTAGGACACACTTGTTCACTAAGCTTGATCATGCAAGGGAGAATCGGTTTTTCAGAGAAGCTGTTCAAGCATTCCGAGTAGTAGTCCATTGATCTTTGTTCCCTCAATGTCAGAATGCTTTTGAGGATTCTTTGTTGCAGTAATTTTGATGTCAAAGATAATCACTGTATTTTTTTAAATGTATATTCTGACTGTTTAGATGATGTTTGGCAGTCTATCCTATCTCTCCTTGCATTTAAACAAACAATAAATTCAGGTGCTTCTTACTTCAAGTTGAACTGCTTTGTGTTACCCTGTTCCTTCTGTCATATTTTATGAAAAATGAAAGTGTTTGCCTTGCTTTCCAAAAACCACTCTTGGCATCTTTAACTGTATTTTAAATCTGCAGGTTGTTATCTGCTATTTTAAGAGTGTCAGAAGTAGAATCTAGAGCAATAAGGGCAAATCTCACACACCTCCTGAGCCCTCAGATGGGCAAAGATATTGTATGGTTCCTCAAGCGTTGGGCAAAGACTTACCTCCTAGTAGATGAAAAGCTGTATGATCAGGTAAGAATATGACTTTTATGCATTAATTGGTGAGTATTAGCAATATATCGTGTGAATGCAGATGTTAGTGTACCTATTTTAAATGTGCAATGATAAAGCATTTTTAATGTTAAATGGGTTGTGGTTTAGTTTGGAATTTGTTTGAAACTTGAGGTTTTCTTCAGTTTTTTAATCAGAAATAGAAGTTGTTAGGGGATCCATCTTGCACATTACAAATGTGATTTTTTTTATTTTTTTTCCCTGTTGTTAGGGGTTTTTTTGTTTGTTTTTTTTTTGTAGCCATTGCCATAGCAGAATTGCATAGTGTGATCTTGGGCTGCATAGTGGGTGAAACTCACTAACCACAGCCATTTTATAAGCTATCCTTACTGTCCATCAGATCTTATAATATATTTCTAATACAATGGTTGCCTTTGATTGATTTAGTAAGTAACCTAGTCATGGTTCTGAATTAGATACTTAACACCATCACAAGGTAGTAAGGTAGTATTACATTAGCTAATGTCATGTTACTTTCCTCTCCCCATTCTCATATATTCTCATTGTATATATCATGATTTCAGTGGTGCATTCTTGTAATGAGCAACTTGTTATCATATTTGAACAACACTAATCATGATTAGACCTTGATCCTGATTTTGCTTATCGAACTAACTGTAATCCAGCTGGCTGAAGGAGGCCACTCATCCTGAGGAGGTCCTGTTGTCTCTAACTTTCAAGAAAGAAGCCGCCGCCTCCTCCTCCTCCTTTTATTTTCACTATAGAAGCAACTAAGAATACTAATGCTTCAGGAGGCCCCTTCTTAACAAAAATATGTATGCCATAGGCTTGTAAACATTTGGAATCATATTATTCAGCTAGTACTTACAGCAGAGCCAAGAATCTGTGGAAGTACCAGCTGGGGAAGAAGTGGAAAGCAGAGAGAAGGAGATCCATAAGAAACCATGTAAAGAAACAAAATAGATTAACTAGGAAATGCACACGTTTAGTTTGTGTTGATGTGTGAAAGTGATTGAAACCTGTTTAAATGTTATGCTCAGTCATGTATATATATCATGAGTTTTAAAGTTAGAAATGTGTGCTGACAGGAAACCCCTGCACAACTGTTGCAAAAGCCTTGGATTTCACTCTTGAGATATTTTTTTTTTCAAGGACAGGAGAACAGGCAATGTCAAGGAATCATATTTTAATGTGCTAGGGCCAGAATGTGACATCTTTCCTCAAAGCTGTACAGACTGAAGGAACAATCTGCAGAAAGCAGATGCAGAAAAATTGCAATGCAGATACACTTTTACAAGATGTAATCTAGATCAACAGCTGAGGTTATTTCTAATAATTTTTATCACCGTAGGAATTTCATTGTAAATTTGTGGAAACACTTTTGGGAGATGATTTTAGGATCTTCTAATTTTTAAAGCTTTTGAACTTTCATTGGCCTTCAAAGCTAGACATACTCTAAGCAGATTCTGTAATGAAGATAAAATTTTTCTTTGTTTTAAGTGTTGTACTTAAAATTGCAAGATAAATTTGGCAAAGATTTTTCTGTTATAGGTATTCTTTGCCTTTGTCTATGTAACATTTATGTATATTAAAAGTAGGGAAGAAGTGACAGCCTGAAAAGAATTTGCTGACAATGATTACCGTACACTTTGGGGTTCTGGCTTCTGTAAAACTCACTCATTTTAATGCTTTTCTTATAGATAAGTCTGCCATTTAGTACAGCATTTGGTGCTGATACAGAGGGTTCCCAGTGGATTGTGGGTTACCTTTTAGAAAAAGTGATCAGTAACCTGGCAGTGTGGAGTTCAGAGCAGGACCTTGCAAATGATACTGTACAACTACTAGTAACATTAGTGGAAAGGAGAGAGCGGTAAGTTGCCATACCTCTGGAAGTCAAAAAATTTCTTTTGCTTCCTTTCAATTTTTTCAGCCAAAGTAATGCAGGTATAGGGCATATTCATGTCTCTGTAAGTCAAATTACTTTAGTAACATACTAGGAATAAAAATAAATAAATAAAAATTCTCTGACAAAGTGAGGAGTGAGACCTGTATTTGGCAAAACATAACCTAGTTTTTATTATTGTTTAGAAGTGCACTCTCCTTCCCTTACCTTTGTGCCTCACTCTTAAACAATGAGAAGGGAAAACTCTTCTGGTCTCCACTCTTATTGCAAGGATTTTTGCGTTTGGTTTTGTTGAACAAGTTCTTCCAGGTTAAGAATTCAGGCACTGGCTAAGCCAGTATAAAATATTTTGTAAACATACTAGACTAAAAAAAAAAAAATAAAAATGCAGGATTTGGTGGATTCAGACAAATTTCAGTTTTCTTTGGTATAACAAACTGTGAAGCAGGAAATTCTTGAATGTTTTACTTTTGTGAATTGACATGCAGTCATGTATTCATAGTCTGCTGAAAGAGTGACCTGAAGTTTGAGTATTTAAATGTTTTAGGACATTTTTAAAACAGTTAAAACCCACTGTAGCTAGTTCTGGAATAAACTCCTTATTTTATCATGACATAATGAGACTAAGCTTTTAATCCACAATATGTCCATTAACTTTATGTATGTGTATAAAACTACAGCACTTCCCTGCTTTTCTCCCATGTGAATTGAGCTGTTTTCAGAGTGTGTACTTCAAAAATCTTAGGGGTGAGGCATTAGTAAGATGAAAATTGAAAAGTGATCTAGCTTTAGAATAAAAGTATTTAAAAAATAACCCCTAAGTATTCTGACAACTGCTAAGCAACCTGATGTGTTCTGTTCATATAATTTTGTGAAGTCTTTAATTAAACTTTTTCCCTCTTTTAGGGCAAACTTAGTTATTCAGTGTGAAAACTGGTGGAATTTAGCTAAACAATTTGCAAGGCGAAGCCCTCCTCTTCATTATTTGTCCAGTTCTGTGCAGAGAACACTAATGAAAGCTTTAGTTTTAGGAGGTTTTGCTCATATGGATACAGAAACAAAGCAACAATACTGGACAGAGGTAAGCTATTTTGGTGCTTCTGTTACCTCCATTTTAGCAAGTAGTACAAACAAGTTAGTTTAGAATTTTAGAATTTTATTTTTTTAGAATTTTTTTGTTTAGAATTTTATGGTGACACAAAATCAACTTGTATAGAAGCTTTTCAGGAGCATTGCGTCCCAACAAGAAGGAAATGGGGCAAGAAGGCCAGGAGGCCTCCATGGATGGATAAGGAACTGCTGAGAAACTTGGAGGGGGTGGGGGTGGGGGAAGAAGCTTATAGAAGATGGAAGTGAGGACAGGTGGCCTAGGAAGAACGCAGAGACATTGAGAACAGTCAGGAAAGCTAAGGCCAGGTTAGAATTGAGTCTGGCCAGGGATGTCAGAGATAACAGGAAAGGCTTCTATATGTATAGGATAAGGCTGCATGGAGACCTCATAGCAGCCTTGCAGTATCTGAAGGGGGCCTGCAAGGATGCTGGAGAGAGGCTCTTCATCAGGAACTGTAGCAACAGGACGTGGGGTAATGGGTTTAAACTTAAACAGGGGAAGTTCAGGTTAGATATAAGGAAGAAGTTCTTTACTGTGAGAGTTGTGAGATACTGGAGCAGTTTGCCCACAGAAGTGGTAAATGCTCCACCCCTGGCAGTGTTCAGGGACAGGCTGGACAGAACCTTGAGTGACCTGGTCTAGTGTGAGGCATCCGTGCCCATGGCAGGGGGATTGGAACTAGATGATCTTAAGGTCCTTTCTGACCCAAACCAGTCTATGATTTGGTGATTCTAAACTTTCGATTTTAAACATCTCATAATTAAAATTTTTAAAATTATTCTCTCTGAAGGTCAATAGTTATATGGCACCCATGAGCTGCCAAAAAATTTATCTAAAACATTACAACCTAAACAGAAACAGCTAACAATTACCTGGAGGTTCATGAAGCAGCCAGTATAGCAGTATGCTAGAAGGAAACTATTATAGGAGGTTATGAATTGCCATCGGATCTGTGTCATTTCTTGCTTATATTTTAATTTGGTGGTGTTATGAATTATTCGCTTAATGGTAATGACAGTAAGAAGCTAATGCAGAACATAATGAAGAACCTTGACCAGTTTTTTCTGCCCTCACTCAATTTATGACATTTTACTACTAGAAAGGTTGGTGTTAGAAAGTACCTGAAATGTGATCAGAAAGCACTACATGAGCTTGTAAAGCATTGGCCTTGTGAGAATAACTTGCTTTTGTTAGCAAAGTTATGAAATTAGTGATGGAAAATAAGAATATAATGCACTGGAAGTAATTAGGAAAAGCTTTTAACTATTTTTATAGAAGTTTCTATATTGAATCCAAACACAGCTGATTACAAAACAGACTGCACTCTCAAGAATCATAATATGACAAAAGTAATTGTGAACATGAATCTTAATGCTTTAATTGATAAACTGTAGCAGTTTTTTCCCCCAGTACTGAATTTAGAAGACAGTCAAATACTGTGAGCCAGACATTGTCATTTGTTTAAACAGTACAAAATAATATAACATATTTATGGAGGTGTTCCATTTGAAACCAGCCTGCAGGTGATGATGGATAATGAGAATTACTAATCACTACCACTTCAGCTTACTTTAGTGTGGCAGATAATAACATAATTGAGCCTTTAGAAACTGGAATTGATTGATTCTTGTACTGCCATGCCAAAAGCAACCCATGAGCTTGCTAAATCACTTAAACCTCACATCTCACATAATAGTATGCTTATCTTAATGTGACTTTTCTAAAAAATTTCAGGTTCTTCAGCCACTTCAGCAGAGATTCTTGAATGTAATAAACCAAGAAAACTTCCAACAGATATGTCAGGAGGAAGAAGTGAAACAGGAAATCACTGCTACATTGGAAGCACTCTGTGGCATTGCTGAGGCTACCCAGATTGATAATGTAGCAATTCTCTTCAATTTCCTAATGGACTTCCTTAATAACTGCATTGGATTAATGGAAGTATACAAAAACACACCAGAGACTGTTAATCTCATAATAGAAGTTTTTGTAGAAGTTGCACATAAACAAATTTGCTATCTTGGAGAGGTAAATACAACCAGGAGAGGAAGAGTGAGAGAGTGTGTGTGTGCTCATGCATGCATGTGCTCATGAACATGTGTATACATTGCTGTCCCTTAAACAGAATAGTGTGGGGATTTTTAGATTCTATAAAGAGATGCTGTATGGCCAGATGTTGGAGGCATTCCTTTGTTTTAAAATTATAGACATGCAAAGATTAAAAGCAGGACATCTAGACTTTTCTTATACCAGTAAACTTTTAACCATGCTTCACCCCTAGTCCAGTTCTATGCAAGGGTGGCAGAAGAGTGCAGACCATGTTGAGTACGTCTTTTAACCATATCAGCCTTCCCTGAAGGCTAGTCTAGAGGAATTGCAGTGCTGTTTCATGTGGCAGATGCATACCATAGCAACACTGCCTTGGTCCTAAACTAGGCATTAAGAGATACCATGAAGTTAATAGGTAACATGAATCACTGCAGTGTGCTTGCATCTTTGTACATCGCCTAATTTTGCTTTTGCACCTGGAAGAGTTCCTGCCTGTTCTGAAGTGGGTATGCACATTGCATTGTGGCTCCAAACTTGAACAGCTGAAATGAGTCCCCAAGGGATTTTGTTAGTAATCTAGTTTGTGAATTTAGTGAGATGTGTCAGCCTGTCCCCATCACTCTTGTCTTTTTGTTAAGACTAAGGAATTGATAAAAGTGATATTCTGCTGTTTTAATCACCAGCACATCAATAAATGGCTGTAAGCATTCTTACTGTTTAAGATGGCTGTTTCTGCCATGATTTTGTGTGTACTTGTTAAAAAAGTGGTTATATAACTGAAATGAAAATCTTGAGTATCATCAAGTGTTATGCGATGGAAGTTTTCTTATTATTTAACATTGTTTTTTAGGCCAAAGCCATGAACTTGTATGAGGCCTGCCTAACTCTGCTCCAGGTATATTCCAAGAATAATCTAGGTCGACAACGGATAGATGTTACAGCAGAAGAAGACCAGTACCAGGATCTCCTTCTTATTATGGAGCTTCTCACTAATCTTTTATCAAAAGAATTTATAGATTTCAGTGATACAGGTATGAAGGGTTTAATAACTGCTGAACCATAATGTGTTTTAAACTGTAGAACCATTGTGGAGCATGTATTCAGTCCTCGTAAAGCAAAAGCTGAACTTTAGACTTTGTTAGATCAGGATATGGAAATTACTATTTAATGTGCCAGTAGCAAAGGAAGGACTTTTTACAGTATTCTGGCATCTGAAATTACTACTGCTCTCATAAAATAAATAGGGCATGTATGAAACAGCTTGAAATCTGAATGTTGCAAGTCTGAACATGTAGTAGCAGCAGTTTTATAACAAAAAACCCCATAGAGAGGTCAGAAGGGGACTGCAGGGAGAGCAGGTAGATTGTTGTCTTAGTACAGGATCCAACTTTAAAATTCCATCACATTTGAGGGTTTTCTGTATTCCTCATTCACAAAACATGCTTTATGGTATGTGGCTATAGTTAAGGATTGTTTTTTGAATCCTAGCCTATTACTTTCTTCCATATATTTGCCACTTAAAATTGCAATATTCCTGAGTAGGATCTCCTAGTTCTAGCTTAGCTCTGCTGAAACCCTTTTGAATAAGCTGAAATACATTTTCATTATTCAGATCTCGCCATGTCCTATACAGTTTGCTTGGTAACAAACAGAATCTGACTAGGTTCTTTTGATGTTATTCAGTGCTTTTTCTTGAAAGAAGAGAGTCTTGTACTCCAAAACTTAGTGTGTCTGTCTAGTTTTTTTTTCTCAATATAAATACAGAACCAGATTTAGACTTTGTCCCTTGCATGGACAATTCAATGCCACGTAAAATATTCTCTTTGAGGTCAGACACTGGATGTTAATTGCATGGAAAACACTTTAAAATACTTCCCATAAAACTAAGGAATGTGAATACTACCTAAATGTAATGCCCAGAGATCAAATGTATTGAAAGTTGCCTGCATCCTGTTGCTGACTCAGTGAAAGAATTATGAAAGTAAGGTCACTGACAGTTGATGGAAAATGTAGGTCTTGCCTGTAATAGGAGAAACTCAGCAACGTGTGAACTACAGAATTTTCTGCATTTTTTCCTTGTGTTTATAAAATATATATATACACACACATATGTAAATGAAAATGCAGTAGTGTTTTGCTCACTATGTGTTTATGCTGCATGAAGCAACTATCACTAGAAACAAATGCAGTGTCCTGTAATGGAAGGGACCCTCAGAGTATCTGAAGCGTTCTGTTTTAGCATGCCATCTGGTACATGTGATAATGAAATGCTTAATCCTAATGAATATAAATATAGAGTGATGTGGCAGCCTCCGCTCACTAAGTTTCTATTTTAATACAGTGCCTCATGTTTTTTTTGGGGGGGAGAGGGGAATAGTTCTATTTTTAAAAATGTCTATATAATAAAGAAATGGGATTCTTCCTTCAATATGTTCAAGTCTCTTTTTGTATAAAACATTTTTCATGTTTTCTACAGATGAAGTATTTAGAGGACATGAACCTGGGCAAGGTACAAACAGATCTGTATCAGCAGCAGATGTTGTCTTATATGGGGTTAATCTAGTTCTGCCTCTAATGTCCCAGGATCTGCTGAAGGTAAGTATATTTTTCACACATAGCTGCTAGATTATAAAAGCTTTATAGTTATGAACTCACAGAATTCCTTCCTATATGCATTCCACCTCTGTAAATTGAGTTTTCTGTGTTTTTTTAAATGTAAATAACTGTTCCATAGTTCTAGGTACCATTTGAAAAGAAATATTGTGAGCTGAGAAAAAGTGTATTTAAAGGAGCTAAGCAAAACTTTTTTCTCCTAAAAGTGAGTCCATGCAGGTCAACAGTTAGCCAAACCTAAAATGTGGCTTGTGGAATCTGTTTTCTGATAGTGTCAGAATTGTAGAATAGTTAGGATTGGAAGCAGAAACAGTCACATTAGTTTAAAAAAATAATAATCTGGGAACTCTTTTACTTGTTTTCACAGTGCAGGTGATTTCATATCATAGACAGCAGCAGCTTATCAGTAGAACAGTAAAGCGTGAAACAATGGAATGGCAGTGTTTCATTGGGTTGCACCGTGTTCATGTTCTACTTCGAATCAGGGGAACACTTCTGAATTGTATCTCAGTTGTCCCCTCTTAACGTGCTTTCTCATCTGGTAGCATTTGCTGAGTGTGAGAGCTGCATCCATTTTACATGAAACTGAGCCGAAGGATGTACCCAAGGAGCCCCTGCTCCAAATGCTCATGAGGCTGTTATCCCACAGGTCTTAGACCTGCTTATGACTGAAGTAAAACTGCATGAATTTGTATAGAACAGCTACCAGACCTCCACTATCAACTGTTTAGTTACAGCAGTCTTTTTTTGTTGTATGACAGTGTTTGCTAATAAAGTTGTAGCCTTTCTAATATTTCTGAAGTTGTCTACTAAAATTGTCTTCTTCATATCAGTTCTGTCTCTGTACAGATGGAAATTATGTCAAAATATAGTTATGTGATTGATTCTAAGATTGCCATTTTTTTTTGTAACAGTTTCCATCCCTGTGTAATCAATATTACAAATTAATCACGTTCATCTGTGAGATATTCCCTGAGAAAATTCCACAACTCCCAGAGGACCTCTTTAAGAGCCTAATGTACTCACTGGAGTTAGGGATGTCATCGTATCCTTTATAAAGCTTGGCAGTGTTTAAAAATCTGAGTTGCTTTTATAATAACCTGTTGAAATCAGGGGATGGGGGGGTTGTGTGTTCCTTGCATTTTTCCCTTTTCTGTCAATATCTGTATCTATAATTATGTATCAGTAATTGACTCTTAGTCTCTGGTGATTGAGAGTTTTGCTGTCTGTTGAGAGTCTAGTATTAGCTGAATTGCCTCACTTGTGATGCTTGAATGCAGCCTTTAAGTGGTTTAGCATGTAAGTTTTTTCTGGCAGCCATTCCTCCTCCATTACTTCATTTCAGAGTGTGTAACTTCCTAAGCCTTCAGCTGGTATCTCAAAGCCATTCCTGAATTAGTTTCTCAGCTGGTAATACAAAACATTGCTGCTGTTCTATTGGGCTGGCTCCAGAGCATTTCCTGTCAGGGTGCCAATGGGCTCTCCCTCTCATAATGGGAGTACCATTTTCACTAATCTGTGGCACGTGTCAGAAACAGATGAGCTTGACCATAAGGGACTCTTTCTGAAAATGTTATGTCAGAGGGGGTTATGTTACCTTAGTGCATGCAGCTAATGAAAGAAGGCAACAAAGCTGGAATTTTTTTGCTGGTTTTCTTCCTTTTTTTTTTTTTTTTTTTTAATTATTAACAGCTTTATAGTAAAACAAAATCTTGGAACATACAAGCAGTTAAAACATTTTCTAGTGACGCAACTGGGAATTTTAACCACAGTTTAATTTCTCACAAATCTGACTTTGATTCTTTAACACTCACTATCAGAATGAGTTCAGAGGTTTGCCAGCTCTGCCTGGAGGCTGTAACACCATTAGCAGAACAGTGTGCAAAAGCACAAGAAACAGATACAACCCTTTTTCTAGCAACAAGGCACTTTCTTAAGGTAAGGCATCCGTTTTGTGTTACTTTGGGGGATTTTTATATATAGGTAGTGTCAAGAGGCCAAACAATGATCATATCTGACTGGGTTAATCAGGATCACACAGTAAGAAACGCGTTACCTAGAAAACTGGCAGTTTGAGAAGAAAGAGAGCATGAAGGAGTTGGAGACATTGGATGAGAGTACAAAGAAGGATGGAGGGAGGAAATTACCTACTGTCAATCAACAAAAGACCTGAGTGTCTCGGAATGCAATTCACATTCATCCATGCTCTGCACTTGAGCTCTAGAATGAACCTGATTAACAATTTTAGCAGTTAGGTTTACTGTGAAAACTGTGAAATAGAATGCTTCTAGAGTTGTGTGAACTGGAGGCTGGGTAGAATGCTAAAACAAAAGGCAGAAAAAAAGATGATAGTTGGGAACTAGAAAGAAAATGCTGTCATTTATTCAATGTAGGCAATGAATTAAGCATTTTCTTAATGCAGTCTCATATTTAGTATTTTCCTTTTAGGACATCCACTCTATCTCATTGAATTTTGGAGTGACCTGGTAACAACCAGGTTCCTGCTAACTGGGAACAAAGTAATTGTGAAATTTGTGTGCTTGTCTTTGATTTTGTAAAGACTTCAGTTTTCCTTAAGACATCTTTTCTTACCAAACAGACATTGATTGCTCATTAATAACATACATCAGACAAGCTGAGAGAATGTGAAACACCTTGCATCACCTTATTGGTCTTTCTATTAACATTGCTTTCTCCCTTTTCTCTAAATTTCCACTTCAAATTATCATACCGTTCTTATTAATCTGTTTTGTGTTTGGCTTTCTGTGAGCTGTAGGAGTCTCCAAAACTTGAGGAGGAAGTATGCTGGTTTATTCTGAAAGAGCAAAGGTTTTTTTCATTATTTCTCTGGCATAAATGCAGCTTTTGGAATAAAACACAAGACATGTAATTTCTCTCCGAACAACACATAAATCAACAGGTTTCAGTGCTTTGAGATATGAATTAGTGCTGTTAAGCCAAGACTCGACTTCTAAAAGAACTTGGCTTTTCAATTACAAAACAGTCAACCTTGCATGCTTGTAAATACACGTTCATTATTCAAGTGAAGGTGATGTTCAGCAGCAAATGTTGGTAAAATAGAAAGTTAAGTTTACACTTCTGTAACTACTTTGCTTTTGTGATTTCAGATGGTCTTTGATATGCTGGTACTTCAGAAGCACAATACAGAAATGACAACGGCAGCAGGTGAAGCATTCTACACATTAGTGTGTTTGCATCAGGTATGACATTTAGTCACTTACAACCTGAAAAGCAGTCATTTGTTAGGGTGGTTAGTTACCATGCATCTGTGAAATCACAGAATCCTTTAAGTTTTAAGGGTTTCCCAGAAGGTCTGTAATCCAGCCTCTTACTCAAAGTGGGCTCAATACTGAATTTGGATCTGGTTGCTCAGAACTTTTTTCAACTGTGTTTTAAAAAGCTCTGAAGGCTTCCTTAGCTTTTAAAAAAGCCTGGTCTGACTGAAGGACTTGAGCTCATTTAGAGGTAGGTGAAAGCTGTGGGGCCACACTTGCTTCTGGCACACTAGTCAGTGAAACTGAGCAACAGGTGGAGAGGTATTGATTGTTTTCCATCACAGCCCTGGTTCTGGATTTTTGTCCTGGTGAGAGAAGTTGTATATATTGTATCCTTTTTTTTAAGCTAATAAGATTATTGTCTATTTAACAGACTGAATATTCAGAGCTAGTTGAAACGTTGCTGTCAACTCAACAAGATCCAGTAATTTACCAGCGGTTAGCAGATGCCTTCAACAAGCTTACTGCAAGCAGCACTCCTCCTACACTGGACCGTAAGCAGAAGATGGCCTTCTTAAAGAGTTTAGAAGAATTTATGGCAAATGTTGGTGGACTTCTCTGTGTAAAATAAACAACAAAACTCTATGCCTAATGTAGACCCTTTCTGCAAAATGCACTGAGAAATGCTGAATGCTGACTAAATCTTGTACCTGTCTGGGTTCTTTGCAGCCATCTCAGATTCTAGAGAGCCTGGAAGTTTGAACATAACACAGTGGAATAAGAGAGGTCAACTTTTGAATCAGCTTCTGCTATTATGTGTTAGCTGCAATCTGTCATACTTGTGTGTGGGAGAGAATGAACAGAAAATTTGAATTTAATTTGTTTTCCATATATGTGCAAACAGATATGGGCACAATGAAAAATAAATACAGTGCCTTCCCCTCACCCCCACTGGTTTAAAATATGAGTGGCTGGATAAACTTACAGATTTCTACCCAAAATCATGTTAGAGTGTAATGCAGATACGTACAAAGCTCTAAACAGTTTAGCTGATTTTAAGCTTTATTTTTCCTCTCTTTGAGTTTGTGTTCCAATGGGGAAGAAAAAACAAATGGTGTTTTAACTTCTATTTAGTTAAGTTTTTCTACATCACCCTGACATTGCATGTTTAATGCAGTGCAGGTTTTTACATTATGTTGTGCTGCCTAAAGTTCAAAAAAGAGGTGTATATTTTTGTTCCCCTAAAATGAACTTTAGGAACTGTAGCCATTTAATTGCCTTAATTTAAAAGAAAAAACACTCATATACTTTAGATGAGAAATTTAAGGCAAAATTTGACTCTTCAGAGGTGGTTTAGGATGTCGGCACTAAGCTGCTGTGTACCTCTTGCAGCCCTTCATGTTGATGTGTCATTTTGGAGTGAGTGTCTAATGCAAGGTTCATGTGTAGTTTTACTTTCAGTATCTGTTTTGATTCATACCCAGGTTGCACACAACTGCAATGTATTTCTACACTGAACTGTTTGCTTAAGCAATAACAACTCAAAAGGTGTAAATTACTGGCAAACTTTTTAAAGTTGGGGCATTAGCTAAAGCAGTTACGCTAGAACAGACAAGTCAAACCCTTCTACTCAAGGGTCATATTTTTTTGACTTGAGTCAAGAAAGATTCGATTGGGATGTGTAGTGCTGTGGGAGATTTTGGGGTTTGCTGAATCTAGCTTCACTTATGCAGAGCCCTCCCAGCTGCTCGGCTCTTTCTCAATTTTTTATATCAGCACTTTAGCTATTAAGACAGCAGAATATCGTGCCCTGAGTATAGTGGACCAACAGGGGAGAGCAGCACACAAATACAAAAGTAAGGCCTGGTTTGTCTCCAGTCATGAGCCAGAGGAAACTGAAGCAAACACAAATTGTTTTCTTTGTGTCTAGTAAAATTGATTTTTGTGGGAGGACATGAGGCAGAAGTGGGCCCCTTTGTTTAGACCTTGGCTAAATTATGCTGTTGAGTATTTCCCATGTGTTTTTAAAATTTATATAAAATGTACAATATACACCTTTATTTGGCTATGTATAGCATCATGTTTGCAATTCTGTGCCATTCTTCAGCTATTCATCTCAGAATAAGTCACAACAGACAGATTTTTTTTAAGACATAAATTTGTAATACTGTGCTGTAAGTGATCTGAGGCTTTTCTTTTTTTTTTTTTTTAAAGTCAAATCCATACGTGTTTCAAGCATGGATCCACAAGGCCAAAAATGCCATCTCCTCATTCTACTTTTCTCTTTTAATTCATGTGAAAACTGGGCTAGGGCAGATCTAAACATTGAACAGTGACCATAAAACTTGGTAGATAATGTACTTTTGTACTTTTCCTGCTAGTATTTTATTTCTAAGATGATTTGTGTAGTGTTTTAGAATAGGGGCAATTTTTATTTCAAACTCTAATGCTTTTCTTTAAAAGATTTCTTGGCTGTGCACTTGCACAGAAGGTGATGATCCTGCAGATCCTTCTGGTTTTAAACTGTACTGGTGACTGATATTTTTTTACATCTGGCTCTGCTATGTTTTGAAACTGGTTCGGGGGCTTCTCTGAGTTTGTACATTGTATATGGCAGCAGGTCTGAAATCTTTTTTTCAGGTGAAGAGCATTAAAGCCTGGGAATGTAAGTGGCAGTAGTTGCCACTAGTTTGTAATGATTTGCTCAATGTCAAATATCTAGACCAAAGTCTTCAAAGATACCAGAGTAAATACCTTCAGATTTTTTTTTTTAATCTGACTGAATAACTGATAAACTCAACCATTATATTATTCTTTTATATCTAGTTCTGTCATTATAAATTTTTTAATCCTAAAGCTGGCTCACTAGTTAAAAAAAACATCTATTAACTTTAAAAATTTGAAATCCTCTTGCATATTGTGATTGATGAATGAGAGCATAAGTTGAGTTAGCATCCAGGACAAAGGAATGTGCATGCCCATTACTTTTCTTATTAGGCCCATTATCACAGTGGGTGAGATCAGAGCCATGGGGCATCTTTTGACTATTGAGACGTGCTGAAGTATGAACACTGACTTTCCAAAACTAGTTTTGAAGGTTACTAAAAATTTTGATTTGCCCTTCATTTTAATAATATTACATGTTAAAGGGAAACTGTCCTAGTAAGGGTTGTTTTTGTCATTTTCCTGCTTGATGTTATGTTAGACAATATTCTTACTTTCTTGATTCTTAATACTTCTTCTGTTCTCCTATATTCAACAAGGATCTTTGCATGCCATTTTGTTTCTTCTAGAGCAAATGCTAAGATGTCTCTGTTTAATGACATCCATGAAATTGTTGCAGAAGACTCTGGGAATATATTTTATTAATTAATATTTCTGCTGGAGAGGTGGCTGCTGGACTATGGGACTTCTATATCCCTTACAAAAAAAAAAAAAAGATTACTTCTACATGCCCAGTTGTAGATCGAGATGCAAAAGCTCATATAGGAAATACTTACAGACCATTTTTAGTGAATACTGTGATGTGGCTCCATGGAAGTGGTTCTGTAATTTTTACAGCATCACTGCATTGTTTTTTTCCATTCACTGTACAAAGTGAACAATGGTTCCAAGAATTCACTGGAGTTTTGAAGGAGAAACTAAAAAGGGCAACTCAAACTGAATTATAAATGCTGCATGATGCAGTTGTAACAAATTCTTACAAATTGTAACAATTTAATATACATTTGCCTAGGGTTTTTTTGTTTGGTTGGTTTTTTTGTTTGGTTTGTTTTGGTTTGTTGTTTTGTTTTTTTTTTTTTTGCTAAAACGCATTATTTCTCCAGTGTTTCCATTCTGAGACTAGAAATCAAGTAGCTTCTTTCCCATTTTGCCAGCTCCTTCCCCATTGTAATAGCGAGATCTGATGCTGGTATAACACTTTTCTGTTGTTCAACCTAGGAATGTTTGCTGTTGGCAAACATGAATCATTGGGTTGGGTCATGAAATTCAAGACTTTCTTGAAAGCACAGATACACATGGACAGGATGAAGTTGGCTACTATACAAAACTTCCACTTTTGTGTGCATTTATGCCTTAAGTATCTTCACTGAATACCACTGGAATCTGCCAAGTATTGCCCAGAGGTTTGTTTCACTGTTTAGTGATAAAGGGCTCACCATTTTCCTCAGGAATGAGAAACTTGTTTTCTCAGCATGTCCAAATCCAAGTAGTTGAAAGAGAGGGGTTTGAATCAGAGTCATCCCTGTGACAGCGTGTAGCACTCACTGAAGCCCCAGTGTTTACTTGGGTAAATCCCTTTATATCTAAGCCATGTAGTTCTAGAAAATGAGCTTCCTCAGAGCAGTCAGTTGTCCATTTAAAATCTAATTTTTCAAAAGGTAAAGCAAATTCTAATTTGTGATCTGTAAAAAATACAACTAGCAGCATTTTTCTTGTAAAACACTTCAAGTTATTTCAGTTTTGGTTAAATACGTACGAAGGGGTGTTTGTTATGGAAGTAGCTTGATGAATATAAGCGCAGGAGTAGGAGCCAGGCTCCTCTAGTTTTGTATCAGTTTTTCTACTGGATCCTTTGTGGCCATTTTGGCAAGTTGATAGAAGTGTCATTGTTACAACAGCGATAATACCTACCTACCTCACAGGGATGTTGTGAGGATTATCTTATGCCTATAAAATGCATTGAGGATCTCAGATACTATGTAAATATTAAATATTTTAATTTTAGTTTTGTGAGGTGTAAGATTTACTGTAACAAAACCAGAAGATTTCCATACCAGTAGATGCCCAGTAGAGGCAGGAGTGGTGCAGTATTGCCCAGGACTGTTCTACTGCAGTACAGTAATGCTTGCTGTAAAGTGTAGTTATTTCAATTACAGCTGATTGAAACAGTGGCTTCTTAAATAAGATTCCCCACCAGTGTGCCTCGGTTCTGGTCTACATAGTTAGAGAACAGTTAGTTGTTCAGGCTTTGGTGCCTCTACTTGTGACATGTGCCACTTATGGTCGTAGGATTTTGTTTAGTTTGGTTTGGGGTTTTACACTTTTATGCAAGGAGCCATTCATTTTTCCCATATTAGTTCCAGTCACTCAGTATAACCAAAGCCTAATGATAACAATTAAAATGTAAAAAGCCAGATCTGTCCCCCTGTCCGTTTGCTTTTAATGTGAGTAGATAGTGCCCTCTTTGCAGTAAATGAGATTAATGCTTTCTAGCACTAATCAGGAAGCAAATCATGAAGTGCGATTTGCTTTAGAGCCTTAAGCTCTTGGCTGTCTTGCAAAACTCTTTTTTCTTAAGTATGAGATTTCTTGGTGCCCTAGCAATGGAGAAATAAGATTTCCCTGGCTTTCCCTTCTCATCAGTGAATTAAAGTAGATTCTGCTTTTCCATTTCTTCCCTTTCCTGCTTTTCCTGTCCTTTTAAGCCATTCTTATAAAAGACTTGGAAGACTTCCAACCTCAAGGGAAAGAAGATACTACTTGTTATTTTTCAGTCTACTACAGCTTGATACTTGAAATTGATAAAGTCCTTCCTAATAGCATTCCCAGGCACATGTCAGTCTCCCATTAACTTCTAGAGTTAATCATTGGGAAAAAAATATTATCCTCTTTTATTTGTTCCCATTGGGCAAAATAATGAG